TCCTTTCACGCTTCTGTCCCAGTGCCCTTGCTCAGGCATTCGGAGCTCCTTCTTGCTGTGCTGCCTTCAAATAAACCCCTCCTCTTTCTGGAATGTTCTCCCTGTCTCCTTCTTGGCTAGGTGCCCTTCTTTTTCCACCTTAAAAGTCAATTTCTAGTGATGGTTTCTCTTGCCAGATCCCATCTCTGTCCCCTACCCCTTGAAACAGGTCAGAAGCTTTACTTCTTCTTCCTTTATTTCTCAGAAATGGACTTAGCTGCTATTTGTTAGTTATGGTTCAGATGTAGGTCTGCCCCTGTGAGCTCCATGGACACAGGGCAGGGACAGATGCTGTCACCTTTTGCTGTATTCCTAGGATGCAGGCCAGTATCTGGTACTCAACAAGTACTTCTTAAAAGAATGAATAATATTATAATATAAGGTACTATAATCTTCAGTCCTCCAACATACTTCAAGATTGTGATCATGTCCCTTGTTATGCAGGTGATAAGGAAAGAAAGTACCAGAAAAATTTTACTAAAGTTTGCAGAGCTACCAGGAAACGATATAATCCAGCCAAAGAACTTTCTAATTCCACAGTGAAAGCTCAAAGGTCAAATCAGTTCACCAAATTAGTGCACGGCCCACGGAGCATCATCCAGAGCTCTATGTCCTCAGCAGAACCTCACGATGGGGAGAACCAAGATGGAAACTATTGGTGTTTTCTTCCATACAGACTGATTTTATTTATACAAACTTCTTGCCATTGGGAAAATGAATAGCTTGAAGTGACTCATGAACATGGGTCGAATGGTTTAAGTGCCTTCTTGAACATAAACGAAAGAGAGATGAAGTAAAAAGACACTTACCATAATTCCAGTAAGCAAGCAGACTCCTTTCCCGCAGTATGTGTTAGGTACCATGTCACCATAACCAATGGAGAGAAAGGTTATTGATATCAACCACATTGCTCCAAGGAAGTTGCTAGTTACATCCTGTTGATCATGGTACCTGAAAAACAGCAAACAAAGCCAGTACTTTACAATTAATCTACAGCGTGGCAGCTAAGGACAGTTTGATTCAATTTGATATATTTGCTCCATCGTCTATAAACTTCTCTATTTCGAAGTTTGCAGAACTTGGGTTATATATAAAATTGAAGTTCCATCTAAGCCATGAAAGGCATCAGCAAGTACCTCAACTTTAAAAATATTCTAACAGAGAAACTGTAGAACATGAAGACCAGTGGTGTAAGACGATATACATGCACATTTATCCTTGCAGACCACCCTGGCCCCTGCTCCTGTCTTTCATTCTGCTTGACTAGCTGACGTGACGGACACAGCGAGACAGCACGTGTTGCCTGACCTCACTCCAGAGGCCGGCCATAGCCATCCTTCTTTGAAGACAGAAACTGTACGTCTGATCACATGGCCCCTGCCCAGAATCAGAGTTCGGTAAAAAAAGAGAGGGGTGTAATTTATCCTGATTATTCTTTGAGGTGTCGAGATTTGTTGGTAAGTTTTTTCTCCCTGACACAGATACCCCATCATGTTTCAGTTGAATTACCAGCACTAAACCATAGCCCTGTGCCGGAGATGCAGGCACTGCTACCTACCATGCATACACACAACAGCAGGCTCCATGAGACACCGCCCTGGAAAACGTGACTGGATGCATGTCCTACAGAGTAGGGCACAGTGGTCCCCACTGCCTCTTTGGCAGTGAGACTGCAAACACTGATCACTAGAGGAGTTCTTGCTCTGTGACTCTTTCTAAGGACCTCCCTTCTTACGCATCTCTCACACTCACTTTGAAAAGCTTTCCTTGCTTCTTTCTCTACGAAGCATGCTGACAGTCACCTGGCACTCACTGTCCCCTGGCTTCACTTTTTCGACCCTGCCTTTCTTTTTTTTTGGAGAGGTTTTTGCTATAGGGTGCGTGCGCTCACCAGACAGACAGAGAGAGACAGAGAGATAGAAAGCGAGAAATCACCCCCCAGGGGGGATGGCCACACCGCAGGCCCTTCTCCTCCATTCTCCTCTCGGGATCTTGGGCACGCACGCACACGCGCCCGGCGTGAGTTTTAAGCCACTGGGTCTGGGACGCGAACCAGTGGGGTCGACAACGTGAGAGTTCAGCGACATAGCCATTACGCTAACTGCTGGTCCCTCGACCCTGCCTTTCAATTCAACTCCCTGTCTGTGCCTCTGAGTCCCGGGTTGATCCCATATATGACCCTAACTGGCCTTCGGATTCTCTGGCACTTTCTTCCCCGGTCCCTCGTCTCAGGCCAAGGTCCCTGCTTCTCTGACCAAGAGAAGAAGATCCTGAAGGAGAAGCTTCCGTCTAGTACCAGTGGATCACACTGTCCTTGGATCCACAAAGAACTCATGCGTATCCCATCTGTGCCTTTGTCTTCTTCCGAAGAAGTACGGAGACCCTAAGAAAAGCTGTTTTCTGCTACTTTGGACTGAGGAAAGAGCAGCTTCTGACTGTAGTGAGTGGAACCCCAGAATAAGGGAGGGTGAGGACAATCAACTGCATTTCCTGAAAAAAAAAAAAGCATGTGAACAGGCAGCCAGCCCTTGCTGAGGTGCATCCGTAAGACTGTGGTGACAGAAGGGCAGAAACTTCCATTGTTCTAAGCCCAAGAAACGCCACCGTGACCTAGTTGTGAAGTCCTGCTTCCCGGAATTGCCAAAAGGGTGGCCAGGATGTGGTCCTACCATTGCAGGAGGGCGAGTGCCCTGAGAATCCTCGTTACGTGACACGCCCACAGGCATGGCTGAGACGACCGTGCTATGTCCGTTATGGCAGGAGCTTAAGCAGGACTGAGTGGCTGTTCTGACAGCCTGCTATACACATGCGATGAAGCTCCAATGGGGGAATCTAGCTTTCATTTCAAAGCTCTGGATTATAATTCATTCATGACCTGGGGCTCTATGGTCAGTATTCTTCATCAAGAAGTTGCCTAAAACAGAAAATACCTTACCCTGGCATGGGGTGGGTGTGGGCTGTAGGGGGGGAGGAGAGCATATCTACTGTTCTTTTTTCATGATAATGTGTGGCATAAGAGAGAGAGCATCCTTGACAGGGACCCATCACACGGTGATCCACTGCCCCAGACCCCATCTCTGAAGTGGGCCCTGAGCATGCACTGTGTCTTCAGGCCAGCCTGAGGGTCCAGATCCACAGACAGCCGTGCTGTGTGCCTTTCAGCACTGCAGTCCAGTAGGCTAGGGCGTGCCACCAAGGCTGGGTCCATTTCCATTTTAATTATGAGATAATTTCTTTGCCAGAGGGTGCAGTACTTCCAGAGAGAAAGAGGGGAGAGAACGCGGGAAAGCATCCTCCCAGAATGGGGCATGGTCACACTGAAATCCCTTCTCTGCCATCTCTCCTCCTTTTGGAGTTTTGTTGCCATGTGCCCATGTGCTGCTATGTTCACATGCCTGCTCGTTTCTCAAGCTGCTGGGTCTAGGACTCGAACCACACATTGGCCATGTGAGGCTGAGCTGCCTAACCACCTCGTCACCAGCTGGCCTGAGATGACTTCTTATTCACACACCATGATTTACACCCGATCTGTATGCTTCAGAAATACCAGCTCTGTGGGCTGGACGCGGAAGTGGGGTAAACGCCCGTTCTGGGAAGCTGCCCCTCCCATTCAGAGCCCTCCATGAAGGTGCAGGGCGTGTGCATGCGTGCTCGTCGGGGCTGGCTGAGGCTGGGTGGGCCACAATGTCAAGACCTTTCTAAGGGTGCTGTCTCTCTGCCTCTCACTCGCAGAAGAAATAAACAAACTTGGGAAAAAAAGAGCCCATGGGTCGAATTCCTTGACGCCTTAGTATGTATGTATGTATCATATTTACTGAGCACTCCTTAAGAGCTCAGCACTTGAACTGCACTTGTTTATGAAGAGGGAGCATTTTAATACGTGGACAATCTTTGACTGAAACTGTCTTCAGCCTCTTATCAGCAAACAGCCCTCAGACACGTAGTTTCCGGACACTTGGAAAATACATCTATCTCTGAGTAAAATATTCATTTTAAGGATTTTCACAGTCACTGTGAGTGACTAGGACACCACTATCTATTCCACATGTGGTTTTCCTTCGGTAAAGCAACTAACTACAAAGAGGAGTTTGAGATTTCCTACTACAGTGATCTGCAGGGCGCCTTCATGGCTGGTGCCAACAAAGGAATCGCATCTTCGACCTGGGTGTGGAAGTCTTTCTAATCTGTCCTGCCTGTAGCACTTTTCATTTCATCTTCAAAATGTGAAGCAGTAGTGACTAAAATTTCAATGGAAAGCATTTCCCAAACAACTTAGGCAAGCTAGCTCCACTGTAGTTGCTCACTGTTAACGAATATATTAGCCTCAAATATCCAAATAAAGTTCTCCCGCCTTCATGAGACTCCACCTGGCACTCCCCACAATGGTGCCATCACACGGCTCAGACCATGTGTATTGTGCATGTGCTGTGTGTGTTACACTGCTCTGGGCGAAGACAACATGAAGGGCCTCAATTAGGAACAAGCATCTTTCTAGGAGTTGGTATTTTTGGATTTGGAATCTGATGTTATGTTTTTTGTTTATGAAATAATAATCCTGCCTGAAAAAGAGCTCAGAATCGAAAAATAGCATGTCATCCTAATGTTCATGTTACATTCAGACATACTGAGTGGTGAATAGTCAAGAAGTAATTAAAGACCAAATTAGTTACTACTAGAATTAACACCTGATTTCTCTCTTGGCAACTCAGAAACAAATATTAGACTTACCAACGAGACTACATTTTCACTTAGAACACCCCCAGATTTTGAATCAATGCCAGATTCACACAATTGTGAATGATTATTACATACAATTTCAGGTTTAAATATTTTCAAAACAAAAGCATTTTTCATAGTCGAAACTCATTTCGTAGACAATTCTAACCTTTTCCTCCATGAGAAAGACAAGAAGGAATGACTTGCAGGGCAAATTTCAAGTTTTGATCAGTATGAATGTGGCTTAATAAAAAAACACATTAAATAAGATTCAAATTGCATAAGGAATGCCTTGTAAACTCAAAAGTTTGTTTTATTTTTGAGAGATCTTTGCTATAGGGCGTGTGCACTTGCTGAAAAGACAGAGACAGAAAGTGAGAAATCACCCCCCCCCCAGGGGGATGGTGATGCTGCAATACATGCCCTTCTCCTCCATTCTCTCGGGATCTTGGGCATGCACGCACACGTGCCCAGCATGAGTTTTGAGTTGCCAAGTCTGGGACTAGAACCGTGGGTCAACTACATGTAAATTCAATCATGTAACCATTATGCCATCTGCTGGTCCGTATCTCAAGTTTTTAGAGGGACTTTGGGTTTTGGCAGAGGACTTACCTGAACTGTTTTACATCACTGCATGCTTCATAGATCATAATAGTACATTTTAAGGTTTAAAGTTAAAAGAAGCGAAATGTTCATTAGTTTCCATTTTATATGTTTCTTCCTCCATTGCTGACTGTGGGTCTGCCATTTTCCCTGGGATTACAAGTATGTCAGCTTTCAACATTCATTCAAGTTTACGGAGGTCATCTTCCCTCAGGAGTCACTCGATTCCTCTGTGTGGCAGCCTGTGCCCAGACTCCTGCCCGGTCTCAGCACCCTCCAGGTAGGCTGGCGGCTGTGCTGCCTTCTTTTCTGCCCTCTTCCTTAGCAGGTGCTGTTCCTTCTGCCTGGAAGTCCCTTCTCCCTCCTTCCTTGCCTGATCTTTGGAGAATCTGTAGATTCTTTGTTCATGGGTCCCTTCATCCAGGCGGTATACAGTATGCCTCCAACAACTGTGGTTTTGTTAAAATATTAAATGCAAATTTCCATTAACAATTGATAAGTTTTAAACTGTGTGACAGTCGGAATTCCGTGATCAAATCTCATGCTGTCCTGCTCTGTCCTGCCTGAGCGTGAATCGCACTTCGGTCCAGCACATCCATGTTGTGTATACCATTCTCCAGTTAGTTCTTTAG